GTGTGTGTGTGTGTGTGTTCTTTTGAAGTACAGTGTTATAGTAATCGTTGCTCACTATGGGGGAGGTAGGAATAGGACTTCAAACAGGGTAGATCTATATAATTATCATTTTATGATATCAATTATTATATAACATAGGATAAGAATCAGTGAGGGTTGAGATAAAACATTTTAATGCAACAATTTGAAACTCATTCTCTTGGCAAACTGTTCAATGTTAATTTTGTTTGTTTGTTTGTTTGTTTGTATATTATTCCTCTTTCAGGCTGCTCCAGCGTTTAAGTTTCAGTATGTCTCTTTCTCAGTTGAGCATACTGGCCAGCTCCCACGGTATTTATTTACACTCGTGTCACGCGCCGTCAAGCGCTAACACAAGGTCTCGTCCGGATGCGAGATCGGGCAATTCAAACACCTTGGTAGTAGAGAATCTTAGGTAGTAGCGAGTGTTCGATGTTTCTACAACTGCCTAGTTTAGCCATATCGATACTAACAGGGTACGAGTTTATGATCAGCTTCCCCGACAGGTAACTTATTTTATGACCGGAGTGCGAATTCGAGATCCCCTGATGTTATCTAAGTTATCTTGATGCCACACGTATATTATTTGACAGTAGGGTATACACATTTCAAAGTAGGCCTATGCATGTTGTTCTCGTGTCTTTTTAGGTTTCAGTCAACGAAAACAGAATTTTGACAAATCTGATGGAGTGTGAGCGGTAAGGTACCGTGGGGATAATGGAGGGTGAGTGTCGAGGTGATGGAGGGAGGAGAAAGGTGAGATGAGGGAGGTGAGGGGTGAGGGGTGAGGTGAGGGAGGTGAGGGGTGAGGTGAGGGGTGAGATGAGGGAGGTGAAGTGAGGGAGGTGAGGTGAGGGGTGAGGCGAGGGAGGTGAGGGGTGAGATGAGGTGAGGGAGGAGAGAGGTGAGGGGTGAGGTGGGTGAGGGAGGTGAGGGAAGTTGAGGGAGGTGAGGGGTGAGGTGAGGAAGGTGTTGGAGGTGAGGTGAGGGGTTAGGTGAGGGGTGAATTGAGAGGTGTCGTATGGGGTGAGGTGAGGAAGGTGAGGGGTGTCGTGAGGGGTGAGGTGAGGGGTAAGGTGAGGGAGGTCAGGGGTGAGGTGAGGGGTGAGGTGAGGGGTGAGGTGAGGGTGAGGTGAGGGTTGAGGTGAGGGTTGAAGTGAGGGGAGAGGTGAGGAAGATGAGGAAGGTGACGGGTGAGGGGCGAGGTGAGGAGGGGCGAGATAAGGGGACAAAGGGAAAAGGAGGAGGTGAGGAAGGGCGATGTTGTGTTTGATTTTATTCTTTAATGGGGTATGGGGGTGAGGGAGAATAAATGGATGGGGGGGGGGGGGGGGGAGATGGAAAGGTGAGGAAGAGGTGAGGGTGGTAAGTTGAGAGGTAGGGATGGTAAGTGAATGAGAAAGATTAGGGGAGAGAGGAGTGGGGGATACAGGCAATAAGTTTTGAAATGAATGGAGGGCAAAATGACTGGGAGGAAGGAGGGGATATGTGAGGAAGTGAGGGTAGGAGATGTTAGTAGATGAGGAATGACGGGGTGGGGGATGGTGTGGAATAGACAGTTCACATTAATATTCCCAGTGCGGTTTTGCCTTTAGCCTAGAACAGCACACCTCTCTTCATGCCTCTAAATCCATAATGTACCACGTAGGCTTACCAGCCTCTGTGGTGTAGCGATTAGACGCTCCGCGTTCGAACGCAGGAGACCTGAATTCGATTCCCGATAGGTGATACTTTTTTATCAAGTATCTCGGTTAACCTCTGGACTGAGGGGATGAGGTGTTTGAGGGGGGTGGGGGACTGGGAAAGGTTGGGAGAGGGGGGTTAGAAGATGAAAGGTGGGTGGTGAGGGAGGGTGAGGGGAGAGGGGGA